TGCTCATCAGGAGAAGACTGAAAAGGAGCTGGTTGAAAGATTTTCTGATTTAAAAAAAGTAAACATAGATCAGGGAAGTGGTACTTCTGGTTTATTACCTATATTCTCCCTCGTACCTAATTTTCTAACGAAAAAACAAATCTACTTATTTTCACATTAATGGATGTGATGCTACGGCAACATTTTCGTGAAAATCAACTACTTTTTTCACTTTTTTTCATAAATTTTTTACAATTTTTGTAACTTTCACGGAAATTGCTGTGACGAATTTAATTTAATTCGGAAAATAAAAACTTGAGCATCAATAGCATATTTAAATAATTAACTGGATGAAATTTAGTAATAGATGATAAACGCGACGGCCATAGAGTTCCTTGTTCCGAATCGTGGATTCAATACATATATACATGTATATAAATAAATTATCATATTTTATTATTATTATTTGTTTTAATTCTCCATTTTCAATGATCATTTCATCTTATATCTCTAGTGAGGTTAGGATTATATACCTTACTCTTAAATAAATTATATAATTTATATTTGTTGCAGGCTGGGCCGCATTGAATATGAAACCTCATTTATTTTATTAGGTTATTCCCAATTACATGTAGTCGAATATATAAATAAACATAATTATCATGTATATTAATATATCACATTGTTTTTAAATCTTTAACAATAAATATTAACTTTATGTAGAAAATATTGTAGTTGTCAATAAATCCTTTAATCTTACAATTTTCTTGATATAATCGGTAGGAACTTAGTTATGATTATGATAGGTAACTGACTAATCATGAGATTATTACGAGGATGAGAAAGTGTATGTGTGAATGTCTTAGAAAGGGAGAGAATCGTTTTAATCTTAAGACCTTGGCAAACCCGTACATTTCTTCACCTCCACCATTCAGTCGAAAGTATGGACAAATCATTCCTCATGAACCCATAAGTAAAATAGTTTACTCCAACACCTCATAGACCTAATCCACACAAAACACAGTGCCAGATTATTATGGCAACGTACCAAACACCCCATCGATCGCCGCTCCTACAATTATAATTGTAAACTATTAAAGCAAGAATTATAATCCTTCAGATCCCAATACTTTGATACCTACCATACTTTTCATTTACTTGTTTACCGATTTTCTCACCGTCTCTTATCACAAATTTTTTTAGTATATCTAGGCATTTTATATAGGTACTTAATACTTAGTTATAATAATTGATATATTATAATAATAATAATTGATTCGATATATAACACTATACAATATACACCATAATAGCATGTATAGATATTTTGTTTATTGGGAAAAAATGAACAATAATAATAACGGTTGAATATTTAATAGTTGACCGCTGCATTATAAAGGAAGGAGATGGTCCGGAGTTGCGGTCATAAATAGGCTAAATAGTGGTAAAACTATTGAAAGCCAACGTTTCGTCCCGACTTTGCAGGTCTTCATCAGGAAGGTGTGTTCATCTAGGAGTTTCACTTAGAACTCCATATTATGACCGCAACCCCGGACCATCTCCTTTAATAATAACGGTTGTTCTTATCATCATACTTTTAATCTATATCAATTAAGAACATCTGATATGCTATAAAAGATTCAGTTGTTTTAATTATCTTGTCTAAACTAAACTTTTCCATTAGTTTTTGTCGTTTTTATGCCTTTTCAGACTGTTGAGCGTGGAGAGGTATATCTCAGGCTATATTTAATATAGTCAACAATATCTCTAAATTATTTTCTTTTATATATATATATATATATATATATATATATATATATATATACAAAAGAAATTTACTAAAGTTAAATAAATGTTGCTGTCCTTAGAACTACCAACCCAAAGAAAGCCAAAAATGTTGACCTAAAAGATATCAAGATCATTATGAAACTTGGAGGCACCGTAGAAGATACAGAACTCATTGTGGGCTTAGTCTTCACCCAGAAGTCAGCAAATGTTATCGGACCAAGGCGTCTTGAGAAAGCCAAAATTGGTCTCATTCAGTTTTGTATTTCTCCCCCAGAAGATATGGATCACAATGTACTTATCTCCGACTATGCAGCAATGGATAGGATTCTAAAAGAGGAAAGAGCCTACATACTCAGCATTGCGAAGCAAATCAAGAAGGCCGTATGTACTATGTTATTGACTCAGAAATCTGTTTTAAGGGACGCCTTGTCGGATTTGGCTATTCACTTCTTTGTCAAGTTGAAAATTATGGTCGTGAAGGATATTGAGAGGAAAGATATCGATTTCGTCTGCAAGACTCTCGGCTGCCGACCCATTCCGTCTTTGGATCACTTTACCAGCGAGGCTCTGGTCGGTGCTGAGCTAGCAGTGGAAGCATCGGCAGGATCTTCTCGTATCGTCAAAGTAACCGGAATTCACAATCCTGCGAAGACAGTAACAATCCTATTCCGAGGATCTAATAATCTTGTCCTCGAAGAAGCTGATCGTTCTATTCACGATGCTCTTTGCGTCATCCGATGTCTTATCAGGGAAAGAGCTCTTCTTCCTGGAGGTGGAGCTCCTAAGATTGAGTTGTCTCTTCGTTTGGGACAGCATGCTCAGCTTTTGGGATCGGAAGAAGCTTATTGTTTGAGGGAGTACGCCAAAGCTTTGGAAATTGTTCCTTATGCCCTTGCTGAGAATGCTGGTCTCAATCCTGTAGCTACTGTTACGGAACTGTGGAATAAGAACGTTCATGGCCAAACTAGTGCTGGTATTAATGTTAGGAAGGGCCAGGTAACAGATATTCTTGAAGAAAATGTACTACAGCCTATGCTGGTCACAGCAAGTGCAATCACGTTAGCGACGGAAACCGTCAGCAGTATTCTAAAAATAGATGACATTCTGAACGTCGCTCATTGAAATTAATTTTTTCATCTTAGTTTTATTTTTTTTTATTTTATATATTATTATTTTTATTATATATTTTTATTATTATTTTATTTTTTTTATTTTTATTTTTATTATTTCATTATTGTTTGTTTAAAGTTGATATATGTTTTTTACATGAATAAAAGTATTGCCTAAAATTAATTATGCACATTAAAATGTAACGATCAAATATTATTTAATAAACTAAATGTATTAACAGCAAAAAAATGTATATATAAAAAAATAATAATAAAATTTAAAAAAAATAAAAAATGAACACATTAAAAATCATAAGTCGTCGTTAGAAAAATACGGTGAGCTCAGCTTTGAGTTAAATGAAAGATTTTCAAAAATAGAAAATCATCTAGAGAGCCAAGCTAAAGATCTGGAGGAATTGACTACTGAAAATAAAACGCTGAAATCCAAAGTGGGAGAACTCGAGGTACGATCGAATATGTTATTATATTAAATATTGTATTTTAATGTGTAGCCGAGTATGCACTAATTTGTGTGATGTATGTGTATTTTTCACTGTTTAGAGATTTTTTGCTTGTATTTATTAATTTGTTGTCCCTTCTTTATTTATTTTATGAAAACATTTATGTTTTGTTGAATTTCAAGTATAAGTATTCATTTAATTTTACTCTGAATACCTGCTAATCATCTTTTTTATATAACATTCCTCTTCTGCTTTTTCGTTATGTTTTTTTTGGAAGTCTTAATGAGATGTCAATAGCAATTTTTTTTTTTCTATCTGCGTATTTTTGATCTTGTTTTTTCTGGCAAAATAACCTGAATTGGCGAAATGTTGGAAAGTTGGCATTCTTGTTTGATATGTTCCATTCATGTTTATTTTAGAGTTTTTTGTTTATTTAATTGATATTACACACAATATTTAATATTATTGTTCGCTCAGTGGTCGAAATTCAACCATAGTCATTACTAAATATTTAAGGAAAACATAGATGAATTTACGCGTTTTCGACATTTTTTCTACTCGTATATATATATATATATATATATATATATATATATATATATATATATATATTCGTATATTCACTTTTATATGTACTAACAAAATAAAACAGTGCAGTACCATTTGTATAAAAATGTAAATGGTAACTTTTTTCATAAAAATATTTAAACTTGCTATCCTCTAAACGCTTACTCAACGAAATTTTGAGGCAAAAACTCGCATTTTTCAATAACTTGAAAATTCATATTTGAGAGTTTTTCCTGGGACAAAATGCCAATCTCAATGTTGTTTTTCGGTTAAAAGATATTCTAAACCACTTTGCTCCTTCGGTCGGTAAAAATTGATTCATTACAATATTTTACATATATCATAGCTAAATTTAAACATAAATTAGTCACAATTGAGCTCTCCTGAAATATAAATTCATCAAACTTCGTGTACTTTTTGAGTTATTGGCAAATAAATTTCTGAATTCATCATAACGATTTATGCAGCTTGTTAAGCGGAACGTTTATTACAAAAATAGGATATATAGGCTTTGAACTTTAAAATTTGATTCTGTTAAGTCAGTACAAACTTTATTAACGAAAATATTTAACGAATTTTAATTAATAATATATAAAAAATTTCTTTTAAGAACTTTAAGAACAAAAACACCAAAATTATTTTTTCTGGATATATTAAAACATTCAAAATACAACTTTTAAGTAGTAAAAACAGACTTTTTTTTTTTATAAATATGAAAAATTTACTGGAATGATATACTATTATGAAAATTAATATCAGGTTTCGCGATTACAGCAGCTATAAGATTCCACAAGTGATTCAATTACAGTGGCTTTAATATGCGTGAATTTTTAACAAAGCACTAGAGATATATAGTAGTAAAATAGAATATGTAATTTTTCTAATTAAGTGCATGTATAGAAATGAAATATATTCCATTAATTAGGATTTTTAAAATTCTCTCACTTTCTCTTACACACAAACACATTCTCATTCTCTTATTATTGATCAGTCGGTTATTTACCACAACCATAAGTAGCTCTAGGTACCTATAATATCAAGAAAATAGTATTCCGAAAATAGTTAGTAAGATTAAAGGATATATTGACAAGTAAAATATTTGAAGATAATATTTATTGTTAAAGATTTAAAAACAATGTATATGCGATATACTTATATACATGAGATATATATTTATATTTATATATTTGACTACATATAAGTGGGAATAATCTAATTTAATATTTGAGCCTTCCTTCCTCATATTCAATGTGATCCAGCCTGCAACAAATATAAAGTTTTTTTTTCACAATCACAATAATATTGTATAATTAAGCCTAAATTATACAACCCTATCCACTATAGAGAAAAAATCATATAAAATGAATAATTAAAACAAATAATAACTATAAGATATAAGAATTGAATACAATATGCATTAGGATTGAATTTAATTCATAATGAAAAACATTGTAGCATAGCACATAACTTTTACATGCAATCTCTGGTACTTGTACTTTTGTGGAAAACTTGTCTGTAAAATATGCCTTGTAGCTCATATTGCCACTTTCTCATACATAAAGAGTGTTGCCCCATTTCTACCAGAGTGTTAGAGAAAAGTTTCCTCAAGGCCACCGAGAAATCAAAAATTAACTAACCCATGTGGGTATCGAATCCGCGATTAAAAACTAATCATTCTAAGGTCGTCGCCTTGGTAATCAATTACTAAATGACATGCAGTTAATTATCTAAATATGTTATTGGGGCTGAAGATATTATACACAGAATTAAATTAATTTCATCGAAGCTGTTATCGAGAAAATTGTAAAACTATACAAAATTGATAAAAAAATATCCTAGTTCGTAACTTTGTGTAATTAGTATGCTGTTGAATATGATATACGAAATCCAAATTGATAGTTGGGAATTATTATTACATAGCAACCCAATATAATTGGGCAGCAATCCTTTATATTTTATATTTTATGAAAATAAAGTGTTTCTCTCTCTTCTCTCCGTCAGTGTAACAACCAATGGTTTGTATTTTAATTTTTCTCAAACTTTGAAACATATTTCACAGAGACTGATAGATTGAAACGAGGGATTGGAAATGTCTTTGTCTTTGTTGATTGGAAATGTGGATTCTGAACTTTTCACATTCATCATTCAAAAACTAGATCTATTTCAGCTGACATTAAATTATTCTATTAAGATATTATATTAAAGTTGTTTGATACACAATTTAATTTAACACACATACATATATATTAAAAAAAATGCATGTTAATCAAGGTAATTTACTGGTAAAAAGATAACCTACAACAATTATTTAAGCAATAAAGTATTTTAAGGTCGCCTTACCTTCGCTTTCTTGCATTTTACAAACTCGTAAGCCGCTTCACATTTATCTGCTTTCGCTGAAATATTATTAATATATATTTCAGAAAAAGTTAGCTTCATATCATGAACATAAACGACATATATATAAAACATACCTGTAACATCGCATTCTTCAATCGCTGCCAACAACTTTGCTTTGAGCTCTTCATCTTTTACCATTTCTTCAACAGCCTCCTTATCCTTTTCTTTGTCAAAGGATCCATCTGCTTTCAGCTAAATAATAGTTTATTATATATTTGTGGTTGAGTAACATTGATTTAATGTAATGATGTTGTGAGAAAATAATACTTACCATACCTTTTTTCTCGAGTGAACAGGCCAATGTACACTGTAATTTGGAAGGATCGATTATAATTTGAATTTAAAATTCTTTTGCCAATAGAAATAAAATTATAAATTTTTAAAGATTCCAATACACAGTTCAGTGTAATAATAATTAAACGAATTAGAGAAATAATTTTTATAATTTTTCTGGGATATTCTTGATAAAAGTCTGGAACAGTCTACTGACTCCACAAATTACTAAATAGGAAATGTTATAAAGACAGTTGGGACATTGTTTAAAAATTGGGATGGCAGACTAAAAAAATTTATACCAACTCCGAAATTTATAAAGTAATTTAATTTATTAATTTATCTATCAACTTTTCAAATCTTCAGCTAATTTTACCGGTCCTAATTTAGAAATCGTCCAGCAATTAGTTTTGAAACAATATTAAAGAATAATAATGATCAAATATCCTTTTTACAATGAATTTATAGAAATTGGTGAGGAGTATACCTTTAAATAACACAGTTGAAACATTAAGTTTTTTGAGAGATTATATGAAAATAAAAACTCCATTTCATCATGCCTCTCTGTTGTTATAGTTTTTTTATGTTATAATTTCTAGCTATCAGTGTGAGCTCCGATTCAATCTAATCCTACACTAAATCACTCGTAGATAAACGTATTTGTAAAGAAGGAAATCGCATGTGAATATGCTTTTCAACATTCGGTTACTTTTAGCATTCCTTTGACAGTGTGAGGGAAAGTGATTTAGTAGTAATACTTCAGAGCAGGATGGATAGATTATGATCCAAAGTTCTCTTAATAAAAACAGTACTCTCAACTATGTACTATTGCGAAGAGTGGTGATCTTTTTAATCTAATTTTTTGTGTATTAAGCATATCATGCCACAATATTTAAGTAGCTAATGAATTTTATGAATCCTTATTCATTTACAAAAATCTGATCTCTTATTTAGTATAATAACCTAAGGAAGATTCATCGTAAAACAAAGAAATCATGTTTGAAATGATTAGGAAAAATGAGGAATTATCACATATTCCTGTTCGAGAAATGTGAATATCGTAAACCAGGATGAAGATCAAATCAAAACCTTAATATGAAAATATATTTTAACGCAAATACCTTAGCTTCTTTTGGGAATGCAGGATCGTTATAATCTGAAAAGTAAAATGAATATTAGACTGAAAAACTTGGATTGAATATCAATTTGAATTTATAAAAAAAAAGAAGAAATATATCTTACTAATTTTATCTAAATCGCCATCAAAGTTATGCTCTTTCTTACAAGCATCATTGATCTCCTTTAATGACATTGTCAAAACCTGGAAGTAAAAATCAATACAACTATATTATATTTAATCAACAAACGAGTGATGTTTTTAAAAAACCTCATTAATTCTACAGATTTGATTTCATTAATATAAAGTCTTGTAAATAAGAAACTCTATCATCCATATTATAACGTTTAATCATTTGATGCGATGAAGTCTACTTGTAAAACATTACTCGTTTATTAATTATATTATGATTTTATAAAATAAGTTTCTTATTTATTTATTCAATTCTAATAAATAATTTACAACAAACAAATGATTTCTTCATATATTAAATTATTATCATATTTTTGTACATTATGATACGTATGTTTTGTTTTTTTGGTTCCTTATTTTTCTTTTTCTCTAACCATTACACCTCTAACATATCAAAAGGGCGACATCCTGAAGTGCTTTAAATATTATGGTGTTATTGCTCTGCTTTCTTAGCTTCTCCTATCCAACATTCAGTTTCATAGACTTTTATCGTTTATGGAACTAAAACTGAGACACTACCATTGTGGATATTAAAACGAGAGATCAACGATACAACAGATCTTCTGCTCGAGGACTATTCTGGAACGAGGTCACAGATACGATATCAAAACACATCAAGTCTATGTCAAAAATGTCCTACGACAACATTGAATCTGAACTGAGTTTATTATGTTAAGAAGATGAACCATGAATGGGACACAGATAGGAAGAATTTACATCAATGTGAGGAGTGATGCTTCTTTTCTTCTTGCTCTGGAAAAATCAGTCCGTGACATTCACATTAAAAAGTCTGACGCAATAGTTAAGAGGATGGTGCAGCTTCTAGCTTTATCAGACAATATCTTCTGGAACTGAAGACTGCAGCGAAGATAGGTGTGATTGTTAAATAAATATAAATTTAATGACAAATATACTAACCAAAGATACTATAGAATATTGTCAGGAAATTTCAATTCGAAATTTATAAATAAGGAAGTGGATTCTGGTTGACACCGGCAATCATGAATTTTGGATTAAGTCAGCACTTGAAACTACTTATTGAAACCATGCTCTTCTGACTGGTAATTACTTACGGATCTCATACCTGTGCAACTAAGACTTTGGAGCAGAGCCTCAAGGGAACGCAAGGCAGTAGAAATAATTTATGGTTCAGTATTTGGTAAATAGGAATTAGCAACGCAGATAAAAACAGTGACGATGTGATTCCGAAAAAAAAGCTTTTGCATGGACCTAACCTGAGAACACAACGATGTTGTTCACTTCAAAGTTGAAGTAATAAATTGAATGGTGAGAGCGAAAAACAGGAGTGATTGCCGATTGTAGCGTCATATTAGATAGAAATATAAATTGGTTGAATACAAACATATTTATAATTTTAAATGTCAATTTAATATTTAAATATTAAAAACTTACAGAATGTGCTGTGCATACTACAGCAAGGAAAATCAAGTATGAACACTGCATGTTTGCAAGAACCTGTGTTGTCGATATGTCTTAATGCCAGTAGATGATGAATACTGACTGAACAAGCTTTGGATCCAACTATATATACGTATATTTGGCACAATGGTGAGGATGTGAATCGTTCATTCATTGTCAGTGCATAACACAGTACTTCATTATTATAAAATATATTCAAAATACAAAAGCTTAATAGCTTATTTGTTACTAGTGGATCCGGAAATTGCATAATATTTTCGTTAGAGGTTTAGCTAAACAAAGAAGAAAAGATTTTACCACATTACAATTTACCATGTTAGCTGATTGTTAATAATTTAGAGCTCAGGTATAAATTAATTTTTTATCTGAAATTCAATTTTATTATTATTTATTTATTATATAATTAATTTATTTCATAAAACGAATAATATTACACTATTTTCATTTGTACATATTTTCTTTATTAATTTAAAAAATTTGTATAATTAAAGAATATATATAATTTTTTCTTTTAAAATTGGAAATTGACATCCTTTTGCTATAAATTTGTTTTTTTAAAGTATATATACAATTGTAACCAAGATTAATAAAGCACTGGCAACAAAACTAACTCTACTCTCTTTTGTTTCCTGGAGAGATGACTAGTTGATATTTTAGCATGTGCATGTACTCTTACATCTTATTGTATCTTGACTATCTTTTCTAGATGTGGCATGCCATAATATTGCATATAAAATAAGTATCTTTTTTTGTTATTTGTATTATCTTTATTATCTTAAATATCTTCCGTTTTATCTTTAATTGTATATAGTAATTATGTTTGAATTCCCTCTTTTTCCTTGTATTTTATTTCTTTTTATTGTACATAGTATTAATTCTGTAAATATTTCTTTTTGTGAATAGATCTGTTAACCTTCTTTGCTGCTTTATAAAAAATATCCAACCTAACCCCTTCTCACCTGAGCTAGCATGGTAGAATAAATGATTTATCATGGCCAAATCATGGGTAAGTAACTTATATTCTCTATAATTATCTCTTTAGAGATGAAAGGCTAGTAAAGCCAGGCGCCCAACAAATAAAAATTCCTGTGGAAAATTATATTTATTAAAAATTGTTTAATTGTATTTTTATTTTATCCCTTTTTTGGTCATACAATATATTACAATCTCTATATCTAAACACATATAATTGATAGCGTTTTTCGTACTTTCTAAAATGGCTTCGCTATTTAATAAGGTAGGTCAAGTCTTTTTGGTTTGACAGGTTTTTTTTTAGAACTTGTTTTTTTCATAAATATTACAATCTGTCTCAAAGTACATTTACAATATAGTATTTTTCAGAGATCACGTTCACACTCATATGAAATAAATAAAAGTAAATTAAACAGCAAAAGCATAGAATAACTAAACATAATTGCATACAAACAAACAAATAATAAAACTAAACTAATCAAAATAAAAACTTAAATACAAACATAACTTTATACAATAGTTATAAATTCAATCTCTCAGGGAAACTCAGAGCCTTTCCGCCCACTTTTGGAAAGAAAGGCAGGAACCTAGGAGATCCCAGCGCTTCTCCCTCAGCATCATTAATGGAGGCTGAGCAGAGCCCTTTTAACGAGACTTAACTGGAGAATCTGGCAATTACCAAACTTCCATTTGCTTATTTAATAAAATGTCTTGTTGAACAGTAGAGTATTAATAAGTGAAAACCTAACCGATGAGAAGGAATATTTTGGGATTATATAGAAATAGAAATAGAAATAGAAAAATAACTTTATTCTGGGACACAGTCCCTTGAGAATAACAAAATAGAACAAAATTAAAATATTACATCTGGCCAAAATAAATCAATCAAAAAAAAGAAATAATGTAAAAAAAATATAAGGTAAAAATTCTATATACAAAACAAACTAAACTATATACAAAACCATTAATACTAAGACAAAACTTAAAGCTATTTGCTCTTATAGACCAGTATACACTTTTCCGAAAAAAATAAAGAATTAAAAAATAAAAATGTGTCAAATTCTCTATTAAAACCGCTCGAATGGTTAGCAAGTATCTGACTGTTTTTGTGATAGGAATTGGAATAGGAGGGATTTGAATGTGGATATGGAGGAGGAATGTCGAATTTTGATAGGGAGGGAATTCCAGAAATTGACAGAGCGAACAATAAAGGAATTTTGGAATGAGGCAGATCTGTGAGAGGGCATGTAAAGGTCAGAAGGTCGAGATCTTGTGGACAGGGAAAGGACTGAGGATTTGAACTGGAGAAGGTTGTAGGCGTAAGAAGGACGATGGTTGTTGATGATTTGGTAGAGGAACGTACCTAGAAAATATTGTCTTCGGAAGGAGGGGAAGAGCCACCTTAACTCAGTGTAGTGGTGAGAGACATGGGAGTACCTCGGGGCACCAATAACAAATCTTACGCAGCTATTCATTAATCTTTTCAGTCTATCACGGAGTTCCACCGAGAGGCCATCATCCACCACACAGTTGTAGTCAAAGTGGGGGAAGATGAGAGAGGAAATTAGGAGTCTACGGATATGTTGAGGTAGGAGATGGTGGAAGCGATGAAATAGTTTAAGGGTAGAAATTGTCCGACGGGAAATGTGAGAAATATGGTAGGTCCAGGAGAGGGTTTGATCTATGAAAAATCCTAAATTTTTAACAGAGGAGTAGAAGGAAATTGGCTGGTCATTAAGGTGTAATATGGGAAAGTCAGTATGGGATCTAATAAGGGGCTTGGAACTAATGACAATAGCCTGAGTTTTGGCAGCATTTAACTTTAATCCATTTACATTTGCCCAGGCATTGATTCGATCTTGGCAAATGCCCCCAGTAACTCAGAGGGAGAAAAGGATAGGTAGATCTGGGAATCATCTGCATAAAGGTGATGGGAACAATGGAGAATTGATTTAGGTAGGTCGTTAATGTAGGAGCTGAAAAGGAGAGGAGATATGCTTGAACCCTGGGCAACTCCAGAGGATAAAGAAAGGAAAGCAGATAGTGGTTGGTTGTACAGGGTATGATTCGTTTCAAATCGATATTTTCAAAGACTTTTGAAAGAATTGGAAGTAGGCTAATTGGTCTGTAGAATGTCAGACTGTTGGAAGGTTTTCCTTGTTTTTGAAAAAGGTCTCATTACAATATTGTACTTGTAGCACAGCTAAATTTTAAACATAAATTGAGCTCTCCTAAAATATAAATTCATCAAACATTCATTTAGAGTTATTCACAAATAAATTTCTGAATCTATCATAACGAATTATGCAGCTTGTTATGCGGAACGTTTGTAATAAAAATAAGTTATATATGCCTCAAGGGGAAGACTTAAAGAAGCATTTAAAGAACAGAGTTTTTACTTTTTATTCATTGTACTTTTTAACCATTATGTCTCAATATTATCTAATATTTAAAGGTAATTTTTTAGATATATACAACCAAGTATAATTATAATTATTCATATTTGTTTCGTCTCTATACTCCTAAATTAGTTCTGCAATGTATGGTCTCTTATTTTTATATTTACATTTCACTTCTATGTACGTTTCGCTTCTTTAATTTTTGTTTTTATTCACATTGTGCTTCTTTCTATAATTTCTTAATGCTATTTTATAAGAATATGTATATATTTATATTTTTTTAGTTCATAGATATAGTATTTTCCTTTGTATCCATCCACATCTTCAAATTTTAGATACTGCAATATTACAGGTTTTGTTTTACTTTTACTACTTACCCCCTCACCATTCACCAACCAGGTCAGTAAATTTCCCCAAGGATTCTTACCTAGGTTTTGCAGTTCTATGTGAAACTCCTTCAGGAACACACCTGTAAGTCTCTATTTTTATTCTTCTAATTTTATTTACTTATTTATTTATTTTTACTTTCACTTACCTATATATATAATATATATTAAGTGTAAGTACTGCGATCGTGAACATTTTTTAATCTGAGTTTTCAACGAATAAACACGTTTTGAGGTCTCCTGAGTCCAATCAACCAAGTCCCGAAAAATGCTCTGTGTGTATGCGAACACTCTAGCTCGAAACCGAAAAGTTGCATGAAACTGATATTACATATTTAAGATAGACATATGCCTTAGATGTCTTGACAACTTTTTCCTTAAGCCGATTCGTGCCACTTATATTAGCACTGAAACACCTTTTTACATTTTTCTGAAAAACGACTCTAACGATTTTGATTAAACTCGATGTACCATTGTATAATTGAGTGGTCTTTAATATCATTTAGGTCTTATAACCGTTGATGTAACTTTACAGTGCTTAAATGCTCGATGTTCATATGCGTTTTCACCTAAAGTACCTTTAATATGGTTTATCTTAAATAATCATCTATCTCTAATTATTAAAAGTTACGAAAAAATGCTAAATATAATTTTTGAAAGAATTTGATAATCGAATAAAGGATAAAAAGATAAAAATGCTTATACAGGTCAAAAATGAATCTCCGGAAATACAAGTCAGAAGGTATACTTATAATACACTGACAGGCAAAAAATTCCACCCACTTGATTTTTTCATGTTTTCATCTAAAAATATTTCTGCTTTGGATTGGTCTATTGTTTTTAATGAATAAATAGGTAATCATTTTGTTTGTTTTCAATTAGGAATGACAATAACCATTAATCCTTAATCCTTAATTCAATGAAATGATTCTAGATTCCAATGTTTACTTTTTTTTTTTCTTTTTTTTTGTATCTGTTTATTGAGAAATAATACATTTTGCCACACTAATTTCTGTGGAATCAAAATGTTTATTCAGTATCATTAGTTCAGTGCCGTTTCTTGCAGCACATTTCTTAGTCTCCGGCTTTTAATTTTTTCGATATTAAGTATAAAAATGCCTCTTAGTGCTAAGGATGTTGCGCGTGGTGTGGCACTTATTGATGATGGGCGTTCCATTAGATATGCAGCTAATGCCATCGGAGTTCCACATGAAACTTTACGAGAGGCCGTCAGGCGTTTTCGGGAAACTGGTTCCTACAATAGAAGGCCCGGTTCTGGACGGCCTAGGTTAACAGAACTACGGGATGACCGGTTTTTAACTTTGAGAATTTTACGAAACTGGCATCTTACCGTTGTTCAAGCGATTCATCAGCTCGAAGAAGTTCGAGGTGTACAAATTTCTGAACGTACCGCTCGGAGAAGATTAAATGAGTATGGATTAATGGCTTATCGTCCAGTAAGAGGACCAGAGTTGACCAGAACTCACAGAGTATCACGGCTTGCTTTTGCTCGAGAACACAGCTATTGGATTATGGACGAATGGAGTACTTTTTACAGATGAGTTAAGATTCGCTCTTCGATCTCCAGAC